CCCCAAAACCCCAAAACCCCAAAACCCCTAAAGTCAAAATCTACCATTAAGAACTGATAATGCATTCAAAAATTAAATTCTATAGAATTAACTTAGTTTATTTTAAACAATGGAAGGTTTGATACAATGTGATGACTGCCATGAAGAATTCAATAAATCAAATAAATAGCCAAAAATATTGCCAAAATGTGGGCATACTTTGTGCCTCTAATGCATCAAATCGTTGAAAAACAATTAGTGTTCTCAATGTGGCACGAGATAAACAATTGAAAATCCTGATATGCTTCTACTGAATGAAAAACTTTTGAATATTTTAGACCTAGTTTACTCTAAAGGTGGAAATCCTATTGGAGGAGGTGGTCCTAACTATGGAGCTCCTTTGAAAAGTGCATCAATTAAGAAAAATACCAATGCAAACTCTGACTATTATGAGCCCGAGTACATTAATAGCAATGAAGAGGATTTGAATAATAGGGCAACTGGAATAATTACAAATCAAGTTACAGGAAAAGTATTTTGTTTCAAGCATCAAGACAAGGAAATAGAATATTTCTGCAAAATTTGTCATTCAATAGTCTGTCCTAGATGTATGTTTGCTGAACATAATGGCCATGAGCTTGCTTAACTTGAGGATGTTACAAATATAATCAAATAAAACATTTACGACTTACATAAATTACTTTTGAACACTAAACGAATCAACGAAGACAATAGGAATTACATTCAACATATAAAAGAAGAAGTTTTAAGACTCAAAGAGTAACAACTTAGAAATATTGATAAAGGTTTCGGGGATCTGATTAAAAAGCTAGAAGAAAAACGTGATGAATTAAAGAATGAATTCTCTAATAAGTATCTTACTGAAGAGAATAAGGTTCTGTCAAAGACGCAGATGCTAGACTAGAATTCTGAAGAAATACAAAATATAGAGATTATCTATGATGAACTTATGAAATTTATTGAAAAAAACAACGATGCTAAGATTCTAACAAAGATCAATGACATTAGTTCATTTATTAGTAAAAGTATTGAAGACCTAGAAATGATTGCAAAAAAGAAGGGATTTGATAAAAATGAAGCTTTGATAGATTCTTCATTGAAGCCATTAACACTTAATGTGCAAAAAGCATATGAGCTTATAAGTAAGTTTAATATGGTACCCACAACAAAGACTAAAGCACCTTAAAATCAGCTAGACAATGGTATGCCACCCTAATAATAGCAAAAATAAATGATGGCTTAATAATAATAAATCCAATAACAATAGTAAAATAGAGGCTACTCTAGTAGTGCCAGTAACTACGGAGAAAATTTAAACTATTAAAATTTCTAGAGCAATCCACCATAAACTCAGCCAATTTAAAATCATTAGAGGAAGTAATAATTTACTGAGGACTAGATTGATCATAATTCTAATAATATCTAGCAGCAACTTACCTAAGTTAGAAGTAACTTTGGCAAGGATGGCTCCTCAAATGGTCCTGGAATACCGCCTGGAAGTTAGCCTCGGGGCGGTGGGCCAGGTGGCATATATCATCCAGACTATTGAAATTAATGAAATACTTTATGTAGTTGATTCTAGTTTATATTAATTATCTTTTAAAAATCTTATTAATACAGTTCTATTTTCAGCTGAAGGGGTTTTGGGGTTTTGGGGTTTTGGGG